CTCCTTCTCCAACGTTATTGTATTTAACGTTTTACCACCTCCTTCAGTGATAACGGGTAGCCTTGTTATACTTGCCAGCTCTACTTGATCTTCGTTATATCGTTATCTTGTGAATATATATATATATATATCGATATAAACTGAGCTATAATCACTCAATGAAATGTTATCGCAGATACTTAGCCGCATGATGCGATATACCGGAAAGGAATTTTTCCGCGGTCACCGTTCCATTATACTACATTCTCCGTAATTCTGTAATGCCTAATGGATGGTGCTTCTGGATTTATTCAAGTCTGTCTGGTTCTCATTCTGTAGATGGGATAAATCCATGGTCAAACTTAAATGAGGGATCGTTGAGGATAACTTGTGTTTCCTGTCACAGATGTTTTTATATTCCTGTCGAAATTTTGGCGTTGATGGCCAAATCCTTTAGGCTGCTATCCTGTTTCCGCAGAAGAGCCGAATTTCAAGCCCTTCTACCGCTACCCAACTTTCATTTTGTGCACTTTTATTGTCTTCTGATTCGATATTTCATCTACCTCATTGGGGCATAAGTTGTTCCGCCACGTTCAGTTGCAGGACTTTTGCTGCTGGCTACCATAAATGAGCGGCAGATCATCGTGGCCTGTTCTACTGCTGGTCATACAGTAGCGTGCGATCGAAACGGTTAGGTAAAATTTCTGTACATAATCACCCAAATGTTACTTCTGTATCCGAATTTGTTAGTTTTTCTCTTCCAGATGCGGAGACTGTTCGAATTTATAACGCATCCAAATATCAAAGGTCGAATCCACTTATGTTCGAAGCGATTACATTCCCAAAGTACCATACATCAGTTGATTGAGCAACGCTATTTCACTGAGTTGCTTCCTTTTCGCAGGTAACACACTTCACAGTTCTCTGATTTAAAACAGCGAAAAATATCTCAAGGCTGTCGAGAATGATCCGTTCTCGGTGTATCTTGGAATTGACCCTTCCGCCCCTAGCTTACAATTGGGAAACATGGTGGCTTTACTGGGACTTTTACGCTGCCATGCTACTGGCAAGAACGGAATTCTTGTAGTAAGTTGCTCGTTGCTAATAATTGTTTTGTACTAAGATAGGTACAAGTACTGTTTCTGTCGGGGATCCAAGTGGGCGCTCAGACAAAAGAATGCTGGAGCCAAGTGAGAGATATCTTTCCAACGCGGACCGTATCGAGAAACAACTACGGACGATATTCCATAACTATCTTGAACAGTTTCACGCCAATTTCAAATGTGCCACAAGAATTCCTTTCTTGCAGTGTGTGTGGAACAGCGATTGGTTGACCGGTGCGAACATGATGACTTTTCTCACCGATATAACATCGCATTTTCGAATGTCAGAGTTACTTGAAAAAGAAAGGTAAGCCATTTCGTTTCTTGAACTGGGAGTAGACACATGCACCACCTTCACCAGAAGCAGTGGGAAAGTATTCATGGCGACCATGGAACCATCTAGGTCTTCGTGGTCTTACTCACGGCAAATCTGCGCTACATTTCCTGTAAAAAAGAAATGTTAGTTGCAAATATAGTGATTCTAGAGGGCAAATGGGACACCTGTCTAATATTATTGCTTGTCCTTCAGTCCCCAGTCCAGATAAGCAAAACCATACCTTTTGGTTCCCGGACTACCCGAGGGATGATGTCGAATGTAGCAAGTAGAAAAGACTTTCATTCAATACAGTGAAAGACTAATAGCCATTAATGGCATTGGGGCGATAGCACTTTCCGTCGAAATATCCCGTTCGAGATGGTTTCCTGATCGCGGATTTCTCTTTTAATAGTCCATACACTTATTATTTTCCTCATTTGTTGCGAAACGTACATTTCATATTATGATAATTGCAGTTATTATTGCCTCATTCAAAAATTTTATTACGTTTCTTGTTGCAAATGTGCTCAAGTTGTTCTTTTGGCATTGTTCTCATTCACATTCGTGCACACCCTCAACGATTTAACCTCCCTCCCGAGAACGGAAGTTCGCTCAGTTAGATGGAAAGTGAAATCTTGCACTTTACCTTTGTAGTGTGAAACTTCGATTGAGCAGTGGCACGGGAATGGATTTGAGCGAGTTTCTTTACCCGGTACTGCAGGCAATGGATTTTTTACATCTTTATCAAAAATTCGATTGTCAGATACAGGTAACGTGTTCTGTGCCATCATTTGCGTTACTTCTATTATTTTATTGCGTGCAGATCGGCGGCCATGATCAGCTTGGAAATATAAACTGCGGCCTGAACTTGATCCGTCGGAAGTTGAACAAATTTGCATTTGGTAAGTCGAATCTACTCGTGTTTTTCTTGCTTCGGTTGCAGTTCCCCATTTTGGCACGGATCTTCTCGAGCAAGAACAACAAACCAGTGACTCCTATGCAGTGGAGTAAACTCTGTCCATGGGTTTCCACCCTGTGGGCGGTATACCACTCATCCCGGTAGTTTACTTCCATGTGATGCGCACTAGAGTGGGGGAGTTTCATATTGACAGGTGCAATAACCTGCATTTGTAGTCACTCACCGTCGAATGTGGGAGCATCAGGAACTCGGTTTGAATGTATGAGGTAGCTAATTTCCCCACCACGAAAGTGGATGGAAACCGCAGCATTCTATCTTTCTTGGTCGCTTATTTTAAGCGAGATCTGGACGGCACAATTACCAATATCGTCTTACATGTCTCTGGGAACGGAATATCTTTTTGACGTGAACCTTTTTTTGTTCTACTGTGCCATAATACAACGGCAATCGGCGTTAAAGCATATTGAGCCCAATGCATCGTAGATAGCCGCTTATGGTTGATCCAAAAACAGCAACGATGAATGCTGATAACCCCCCGAATGCTTATAGTGTACATTCTATTTGAGCAACGTGGTGTGTAGAGCAGTAGCGTCGTTTATTTACATTCATCCGATGCTTCCAGCCTACTCTCACTTTACGAGTAGTCAAATTCGGAAATTATAATAAACGCCGCTCAACAAGAATCCTGGGGAATGCGTGCTGTTTTCCATCCTGTTCAGGATGGAAAACAACACGCATTCCCCAGGATTCATTCCAATCCTCATCTCTTGGGCCCCAACCTGGAAGGCGGGCCGCCGTCGCGACATCTGGCTGTCTGTGAAGGGTCGAGTGTATGCTGCAGCAGTTCGGCCAGTTCTCCTATACGGCGCAGAAACTTGGTCATTAAGAAAACAGAACAAAGATAGACTGTCTGTGTTTGAACATCGCTGTCTACGCAGCATTGCATGAATCTGGTGGGGCAGCCGGACGAGCAATGCTGAGGTTAGGCACAGAGTTTTCGATATCCGCGGTCGCCCACTGGAGCAAGTGGTTGATCTCCATAGATTACGTTGGTTGGGGCATGTGTTACGCATGTCACCAGATAGGTTGCCACGGCAAGCTGGTTGGCTATCGTTTCCGTATGCAAAAATCACTCACGAATTTTTCTGCGTTCAATGTGTGATGTTCCCTCTCCGTATTTCATCCTTCGCTTGTGATTAGGTGTTCTTTTCGTTGCCTGATGTGGTGCATTTTATTGAACTAGGCGCTGGTGTCGATGATAAGGATTTTATCCAAATATGGAGCATAACAGATATTCCTTAATTTGTTCCCGAGCAATTTGTATGATTCGGTTTCCTTCCAAACTATCCGCGGATTTCCAAATAGAAACCGTAATCTGTATATTGGTCGTGTGTGCTTTATTTTCACGCAGTAGATCCGTTTGTTAGTACCAACTACGGCTATCAGTTTGATACTTCAATATTAATCAGATTGACTTGAGGTATTTCAGCTTGACTGTGTTCTCGGCGAATCCTGAATTTTTAGTCCTATGTTTAAGAGATACCAGCTTCATCAGCAAAACTATTCTGTTTACCTATCTGCGATCTCAGAGACTTTGTTCGTTGGTCGCTTTTTGGTCACATTCAGTTTTTTTTACTTCATTCTTTATTTCCTTTTTGCGTGATGTGAAATAGAAGGATTATTTCATAGTCACGAGGACCTGTTGTTCGTTCGTGGAAACTGACAACCTAAGACGCGGGACTTGGAGTGGCGAGCTAAAAGACTCCAGTAGGTTAGACATTATTGAACCGGAGTGTTTGCTTCCCATCACTCTAAAACGGCATTTTCGCAGCGTTTTTCGTTAGATTCGGTGTGACAAATATCAGGAGACCACTCTCCTCTGAGTCACAAGGATATACTGTTCGCTGGTGGAGACAGCACATTCTAATCCCAGAGTGTGCTGAACTACATGAGATTCCAAAAAGATAGACTGAATGATTTGATCAAAGTCTTATCTGTATGTGCCGAACCGAATTAGTGTCCGTCTGTACAGTTCTCCACTTTGATCGTTTGATTTAGGTCTGACCGTGCCTCTCTTGACCACTCCGGACGGACAAAAATTCGGCAAATCTGTCACTGATCCTGGAATGAGCCCCATCTGGCTTGATTCTGATCGCATGCGACCTTATTCATTCTTTCAACGCATTCTCAATCTACCCGACTCTTATGTGTCTGAACAGTTACTCAAGCAATTGACTTTCCTCGCTCCCGATCGGATTGCAGAGCTGCTTGAAGAGAATCAGGTATGAAAGACTACTGTGTTTCTGAAAGTATATTGTCTTTGATTTATTTTTTAATGTGGAATAAGAAAACTCATCGTGAAGTTGGTTCTGCTGGAATTAAATGTTCTTCCATGAAGACACCAGGAGACAGAACTCCTTTTCGGTATCCATAAAACGATCAAGTGTCAGTGACCCTAGGGGTTTCTCGTCTCCTCACAGTAAGTTTTCGGTGCCAAACTTGTGGTTAGGATGTGCAACTGTTGGAAGGTCGCCTGATGTTCTTTTTTCACTGATCGGGCGTATTTATTGTTTTTTATTGCTCTATGCTATGGTTCACAGTTTCCTCTTGTTGTAGTTCGGGCTGATCATTGTTGGTTGCCTCTGTTGTTGATTTTACTCGGGCGTTCCCTATCTATTATCACATGGACGTCACTTCCAGTCGTCCTTACAACTACACCATTCATGTAACATCCGATCATCTCACCCGGTGTATGTGTGCTCGCATGTGGTAATGGTAAAAAACTTTCGCATGTTTTGCGAACGTGAGCTTATGTTAGACACCTCTTAGACTGATCCGATAAGGCACTGAAACGATCTCCAGAAAATGCGTGGATGCATGTAACATTCTCGTGGTTATGCGACTTTCATGTTCAGTCTACACATGCCTGAATCGTGTTTAGAAGCCTAAATTAATTGTGTTCCGTCGTTTCTGGTCGTGACTGACGCTTTCAATCAATTCAATCCAATTTCACCACAGATCAAATAACTAAGAATTGTCTGTTTGTTTCCCCATGTACTTAATGACAACGAGTCTCTTGTTGGTGATTGTGATTTACAGTGTTAAGTTGCATCTTTCTGTAGTATTTCTATCATACCATAAGAATGAATGAAAACATCAGTATTTGTCTGTGAAAATCGGAAGCTCTGAATTTCTGAACTTACTTTACCAATGTGGTCTTGAAATCTACAATGTTCCCCGTGTCAATATATCCTTCTCATACGGGTTTTTAGCCTTGATATCGATTCGTAACACAAAATTACATCCCAACCACGAGGTCGTACTCTTATTCGATGAGAAAGGGCATCTTGAAGATGGTCGACGATCAACGGTAACAAAGTTCATGGAGCAGCACAAGCCTAAGATGAAAATTCCTTCAATGTATCTGTATATCCTCATCATTATCGCACAGCGAAATACAAATGGAGCGAACCTCACTGCTCGCTGCCGAGCTCACAGTGCATATCGAGCTAATGGTAATATTTAAGGTGGGCAGGGATGCGGAAAGAAAATGAACTTCAACACGGAAGTTACATAATCTAAGTTTGTATACATATCTTCTAAAGCATTCTGGTTTGGGCATATGCCAAGAGTAGAAACTAATTTCGAGGGGATTATCGATGTATCGTATCGTTACTTCGAGCACACACACTCTAGCATTGGTCTCTCTTGGTCGTTTTTATAATCAAGGTTTCTATGCCAACTCTCCTAGGTGAACTGCCAGTGGTTCACCGACCCGATTATAACCCGAACATATGCTGGTTTTCCGTCCTCACACTTTGGTGAGAAAACAGTTCCGCCACGGGAAGGCAGTATGGCTTCCTCATCAGAGGCTATTTGAGGCATTTGGTTGTATAGGAGCATTTCTGGAGATGCGGGGAGGGTGATCAGCCACAACCCCAGACACCCACCTCCGCCATACTGATGCTTTTGAAGACCTATGAGTGAAGGCTGAAAGTCCACAAAATACCAAGTCACTCATTGCAATATGAGCTCGTCTCATTTTCCTTTGGATTTTATTCTCTAAGTGTTATCCGATCGGGTGAAAAGTCGTCCCATTTCGAATCTTATCGTTATTTCGACTCAAATGTCAGCTTCCAGCTGTTAAATTAAGACTACTATGTACAGAAGTAAAAGGTCAATTCCACCATAAGTGAATTGAATGTATCAAAAACATTTGTGCACATAAAGTTGAGTGATGTAATTGAATATGCTACACTTCACTAATTAAAAAAGTTTAACACTATGGTTTGAAGGACGAAGTAGGCTCAGTTGCGTTCTCATCAGATGTTTTTCAACAAATGATCCCTGATTTCTCGTGATCACCTAGTCATCGGTTATCGGTTGCGTCATCCATTTCGTCAGCCACGTTGTAATCTGTTCGGCCATTCTTTATGATGCCGGACGTTTTATTCTGCCTACGTATGTGCCACTCCAGTGGCAGGCTAACTGATATACAGTGTGTGAGACAGAACCGGCTCACGAATCATGTTTTCTTTTGGCCGGATCAATTTCGCCAGTAGAGGAGTTGAGTCTGAGGTGAGCAGCTGAGGTCTAGAGCTGACCTTAACTTTTCGTGCGCAGTATTGTAAATGTGGATGCTTTCGAATATAAGCTTTTTGTAAATGGCCTTTTTACTGGTGTTTTGGGTTGGTTTACATTTGGGAATGATCTGCTGCGAATCTATGTAAATCTTTCTGGATAACCATTGTTTATCAATGTTTCCCTCCTGTACTGTATCTGGAGAACAAATGTGCTTCGTCGACCATTGAGGAAATTAAATGACGTTTATCTGCTCTCTCTCTCTCTAGTGTTTAGTAGTGCTTTATCTCGGGTGACTTCAACCTTTTTCAATACTGTCTAATTTCAAACCCAAATGCATATCGGTTTCTGTTTTATTTCCACAATTTCGTCTGCCTGTTATATCTAGTTCGGATATTTGTTCCATCAGGAAGCGAGAGATAATAGATCCATCTGCAGACCCGAATAGGGCATCTGTTAAGTAACGTTTCCACATAACGAGTGATTTATAATGAAAAGAAAGCCTACGCGTTGTAATTACGTTTGGACGGCAAAAATGCCATTGATTTAAGAACCGCAATTAG